CCCCATCTCCAAATACGGTCATGCAGCGGGGTTAGGACTTCATCATATAAATTGGTGGTGGTGGGGGGTGCACAATTCAGCCCATAGCAGACTGTTTTGAGAGTTGCAAGACATAGATTATGCTCTGAATATGGTAATATTTTTGATGTGGTTCATAGAAGAGTTCAAGTAGGTTACAGAGAATCCAGCTGATGAAAAAAGATATGAACAAACCAAGACAAAGATACCCCCTAGATCCTTGGTGAAGAACTAAAAGTTAATAGCACACCCCTACTCTATATTACCAATATTTTGCTACACTTCTCTTTATGCTTAAATTAGCTGTTTAATAACAACCTAGGGTTCTCATTTCTTGATGCCACATTCTCCCTAACTGCTTACATTCAATCAGACACCATATGTCCCCACTTCCTGTTGGTTCAGGCCTCCGCCCTTTATGGCTTAGATATTAACAGTCTCTGGTCTGTTGTCTCCATTCAATCTAATACACTCATACCACAGACAGGCTGGTTATATAAAATATAAAATAGGTCATGTTGCTTCCCTACTTGAAATGTTTCAGTGACTTCCTATCATTTTTAGGGGATTGTGGTCAAAGTTCAGGAGCCCATATTGAGAAGATTAGGTTAGCAGCCCCTCGTAAAGAGTCCCATTGTAGCCAGGCTCAGTGCCTCTGGATGTGCCTCCGATTACCCTCACATCTGCTCAAGACTGCTGCTGCTAATTTCTTTGTTCATATCAATTGAGATGATTAAAAAGAACACTCAGGGTTTTATGCACCACTATTCTTAGAGTCTATTACACCAGGCTGCCTGCTCAGTAGGAGTGGCTTAACGAAGCTTTCTTTGTAAATTTGGGAATGAAACATCACTTAAACACCCAGTAGCATAAGTTTCCAAAGGCAACCACAACTGTATCTCCCATCTTGTATAATTTTTTATGCGAGACCTTGCCTCTTACCTCATCAGGGTTGGATCTATTTCCTTCTCTGTGGGTTCAAGATGGCAGAAGTGACATCGTGTAGCTTCTGAGGCTAGCGCCTAAGAGGCAAGAATAGTTTCTGCTTTTATGCTCACTGGGAAGCCAGCTGCCATGCAGTAAAAAAAGTTGAGATAAAATACTAAGAGATGAGGCAGCACATGCAGTGAGAGAGGCCATGCCTGGAAGCTGGACATGTGACATGTGAGTGAAGCCTTCTTAAACCTTCCGGCTCAGCCCAGCTGCCATCTGACTGAAACTTCATGAGATACCCCAGATCCGAAGAGAAGAACTGGCCACCTAGGCCCTGCTCAAACTTCCGACCCACAGTCATTAGAAATAAATAAGTCATTGCTGTTTTAGGTTACTAGGTTTTGAAATGGTTTGATTCACAGCAATAGCTAACCCAAACTACATTTTCTACCAGATTAAGCAATGAAATGTATAATTGTATTACAGAGAGCTCTAGCACATCCCCACTCCAGTTTTTATTCATTGTAATAATAGTAAAACAAATGAAAAGTAGATTCACATACAACTCCACTATTTCAATGTTTTATCTATTTTTACTTTTCTATATACTTTCTAGTAGCTGATAGTAAGCATACAGAATGAAGCAATGTTGTGTTTACCAAGCACATAGATTTTTGCAGTTTTCCCTTCTCTTGGTTTTGTATCTTTCATTCACACATTATACAAGAATTTGTTGAGATCTACTTAATGCCAAGCACTGAAGATTTAGAGTTAAATGACTGCATACTGGTTTTTTTTTTCATATGTTTGACCAAATTTAGATAACCGTTCTTTTGAAATCGTTCTTGAATTGAACACAAATTGATCCAGGTGTTTCTTTCTTTTTTTTGTCTATCTACAAATTTTAGCTCCAAAGAATATATGGTAGCTTACAGTATGTCTTTTGGTATCAAACTGTAAAATTACAATAAAAAATATCAGGAAAGAAAAATAAATATACTGTGAACTTAGCCTAATAGAATTACTGTAATTGAAAATGTAGTTCTGAGATATCAGGCAAGGCAAAGGAAAACAGCGAATTAGTCATTCTTATCTAATGAAGATGGAGATGCTGACTTCCCTACATGGGAGGGGATGAAAGTGTACCCAGAGGCAAGGAGATGGAGACAGCCCATGTAGATGAGCTCGTCTGTCAAGGAGCTTGGCTGTGAGGAAGACTAGAGAAGCTAGACAGTGGCAACAGGACGGTGGTGGGAAAAATTCTATAAAGAGGCAGAAATTGAGGATTCAGGGAGAGAGGGGCTGACTAATGGGGCAGGGTCCCCAGAAAGGACTAAGGATGGGATCTGGGACTCACTCGGAAAATGAGGGAGTTCCCTGGTTGGTGATTTCTGTTTATTCAGTTTAAATGAGATGGGAGTGTAGGAGAGAGGGGTTGGAGATTTGAAAAGAATTGGAAAAGTACCAGACACTCCTTGTTGAATCTGCTGGTACTCTGTTCCAAGTTCAGACTATTATAGCATCTGAATCCAGGAACAGACAGAAGGAAAAAGACAGAGTTTGACAGGAATATCACCAGGGCCCTGGCTCAACCTTCAGAGCAGTCTCCTGATACCATAAAAACCCTTCTTTCTAAACTATAGGAGACCTGATCTGGAAGTTCTCTTATACTGCTTTTCTGAGAGTGATAACGAGCAGGTAGCTTAGCCAATGGGGCAGCTAGCTGGGAGATTCTAAAGAGAGGAGCAGTTGGTGAGAAGGGGAGGTTTCCTGATGAGCAGAGGCCTTCAGTAGGAAAGGAAAGAAAAAGTGGGGGCTTCAGAGCTGTGACAACAAAGCAGGACATAAATAGTCTAGACAGAATACATTCCTGTAGAAACTCAGCTGCTGCAGTGAAAACCTGGGGTTTTAGTCACTGTTCAACACCTATTACTGGAGATTTGGCTCTTCAATTTGAGCTAACTGGGATTCAGCCACGAAGCTGTCATTGAAGGAAAAAAAGCAAAGAGCCGTGGGCCTAGACACCAACTGTTTCATTTATCACGAGAGTTGGCAGGTGAGTGTGGGGGGCCCCCCTGTGGCTTCCCCCCTTTCTTCCCTGTCATCTCAGGCCCATGAGCTTGGAAGCGGGTGAAGTAATTGTGGGGGAGTTTCTTAACCATTCTAAATCTCAGTTTTCTTATCTGGAAATTGAGAATATTTATCTTATAAGGTTATTCTAAGGAATAAACGAGGTAATGAATGCACTGTCAGTTGATAGCAGAGTGCTCAGTATATGTATCGGTTCTAGTGTCCCCACATGCCCTTTTAGCTTTTGTTCTTGATCATCCACCTTCTTTGGTGGGATGGCTGGGCAGTCCTGCATCTGCTAGCTTACTTTGGAGGCTGGCTCTCATGGTTCTTATGTACGGGCTGTCCAAATGTGACCTGATGCTTAAGATAATTTAGAAGTATTGCCGAGTCTCAGGTACCCTTTAAAGAGACTTTTCAGCACTAGCTGTGACAACTAGTGTGTGACAATTCATAACTAGTTGTGACAATTTTTTCAATAAAAATCCAAAGCATTTTTTAAAAAATCCAGAGAATAACAAGTGTTGGCAAGGATGTGGAAAAATTAGAAACTTTGTGCATTGCTGATGGGAATGTAAAATGAAACAGCCACTATGGAAAACAGTGTGGCGAGTCCTCAAAAATTAAACATAGATTTACCATATTATCCAGAAATTTTACTTCTGGCTATATACTCACAAGAAGCGACTCAAGCATACATATGTTCATAGCCCCATTATTCACAATAGCCAAAAGGTGGGAACAACCCAAATGTCCATCAACGAACGGATGCTTCACCAAATGTGGTATATCCATACATTGGAATATTATTCAGCCATAAAAAGGGGAAATTTTGACACATCTACAAATTGTATAAAACTTGAAGACATTATGGTGAGTGACATAAGACACATACAAAAGGACAAAGATGATATGGCTCCTCTTAGAGGAGCTTATCAGAGCAGTCGAATTCATGGAGATAGAGAGCATAGTGGAGGTTGCCAGGGACTGGAGAGAGGGGGGAGATGGGAGTTAGTGTTTAATGGACACAGAGTTTCATTTTGGGAAGCTAAAAAAGCTCTGAGATGGATAGTGGGGATAGTTGCACAGCAGTGTGAATATACTTAATGCCACAAAACTGTACACTTAAAAATAGTCAAAATGGTAAATTTTGTGTTATATATAATTTACCACAATAAAAAACCCAAAGCATTTATTAAGTACTCTAAATCTCAAGTTAAGTGATTGGTCATTATCATTTACAAGAGAGGACAAACTCTCACAATTAACCAAATTGGGCTAATAAAAAGATTTTGAATGTTTTACTCTTCTGTAAAGCTAATATATCCAAACTACCAGCACAGAGCTTGTTGTATATAGGCAGTCAGTAAGTGATCAGTATTTTTATTATTATTATAAATAAAGTATGGTAATAGGAACCCTCTGAAGAGCTGTGGATGGAACAGAAGTCATGTGCAAGAAAGAAAAGAAAATGTTTTACTCCTTTTCTCTATAGTCTTAGGAAATTTCCTGGCAAAGATACAAAGTATAGAAATTGCCATAGAGCTTCTAGAACAGCCAGACCCTTCCAGAATTATTAAATTCATTTATTTGTTCCTTCCCTTCTGTATTCATTTATCAAGTCTATCAGTTCCTTAATATATGTAATGGTCTATGTTGGATGATATGGGCATTGTAAATATGAGTAAAGTTTGATTCCTGACCTCCAGAAGCTTATAATCTAGTAGGAGGGATGAGATATACATACGTCATTGTAATGCAGTTGGCATGGTAAGAGGTGGACAACCTTTATCATAAGCTGAAATGTAGAGAGAGGAATAACCCCACTATGGGTATGCAAATACTGCTTGTGTGTAAAGATATGAAACTGAGAGCTGGTGGTGCATCTAAAACTTGAGCAGGCTTTTCGGATGTGTTGAGGATTCTTGGTACCTGCTCTCACGTTCTAACCCTGTGTTCTCTCTGCTTCCCTTTCTGAGGTGTGGTCGGAGTTCTCCGGGTCTTGGAGTCCGCTGTCCTTTGAGAGGCTGAGCAGATGGCTGCAGCAGCGGTGGCGGGACTGATCCCTGTGTTACACTCTGTGGCTGGTGACAAATCTGGCTACTACATCGGGCGGCAGCTGTGGTTTGGCTTCATCGCTGTGTACGGAGTGGTGGTGTACGTAGTCCGCATGCCCTGGTCCCTCATCCACGAAGATTTCTGGTGCCATGGCAATGTCACCAATCCTTGTTTGATAGAGTGTTTTGAAAAAAGTTTTAGCAGTCCTGTAGTGGGAATTTGGTATTTCTTTTTCTTCATCTTCCTGGCCCTCTTCTTCCTCATGGAATTCTTCATGGCTCAGATTCGGCATAAGCAGATCAAGGTCAAGTCAGTGGAGTCAGTAGCAGGTGAAGTGGAGGAAGGTTCCATGGTGGGAATCCAGGAGCATGTACCCTCTCCAAAGAAGTCAATCCTGAACTTTCACCAGGAGAAGATGCTTTTGCTTTTGTACCTCCTTTACTTCCTCCTGCAGGTTGGCTCACAGTGTGTGTTTTTGTTCCTTCTCATGTTCCAACACCTGCCCCTGGTGAGCCAAGCAATTATTCACTGCAGAACCGATAGTTGCCCTGGACCCTACCTATGCCTGATCAGGGGGACCATGGAGAAGCGGATGTCCATCTATACCCTCATCACCTTGTCCTTCATAGTCATCCTCTTCTGCTCAGGGTTCTTTATGTACAGTATCCATCATTACCTGTTAAAGGGGCTATCAAGTGCTAAGTTTTGGTTTGACTGATGTTTGGAAATTCTTAATACAAGTCTTTCCTCCCTTGCACTAGGAAGTTTATGTTCCTCTAAATATCATGTCTGGAGCAGAGCTTTCTCTTGCTAACCTTCTTTGCTTTCTTCCTTTATAAAATAAACATTTGTTGTTCTGGTTTTCTCCCTCTACAGCCAGGCTCAGGTTGTCTAACTGTGGGGTGGGTGGCATACACTTGAAAACATTTCAGTGTTATTTCACAATGTGTTATCTAATTTGGTCCTCATCAGAAGCCTGTGACATTGAGCTTGCTATATCATTCTTCCAGTATCTTCAAATAAGGAAGAGTTTCCATTATCTTAGAACTATGAACCGTAAAGAGTCAGAAGGGATTGACTGACTTCTGCCATGCCTCTCCAGTATTGGTTGTAAATACACAGGAGGTAATTCTTCTCCATAGGAAAACCCTCGGTGGGACTTGCAGGGGAGGTTCCCCAAGTTTCTAGGTATGGTTCTAGTCTTGCCATCTCACCTGAATCTCCAGGGAAGACTGAATAAATCTAGATGAGTCTCTCTGGGGAAAGAATGTGTGTGGCCAAGGTGGGGATGAGGTTCTGTGGAAGCAATGAACTGGGTCAACTGTGCCCAGAACTGGGTCTCACTCCCAGACATGACCTATCTTGAGATAGATGTATTGGAGCCCAGCTCAGGTACGCTGACCTTGCTTTGGGGCTCCCTGCTGAATCCTGCAGTCTGTAAGCACAAGGCAGTTGGACCAGATATGGCTAAAGTTCTTCACATTTGGGGAGGGGCAAAGATAGGGATCAGAATGAGAATGTTACAGAGAAGGGGTAGCTAATTACCTCATCCTATGTAGGTGGGTCATCCCCAGGAGTAATTTGAGTGACTATCCTGTGCCCGAGGCTTGGATTCCCTCTAGGAGCTTGGCATGAGATGTGGAGCATAGGGCAGTGCCTAGAGCCCCTCCTTGCTGGGTACAGTCTGTGCTGTTCAAGCCATCACTTAGAGGAATGCAGCTGGGATTTTCCTCACGTATAGTCTTGGTCTTTAGGCTGATTCTGGCAGATAGACTCCAAGGTCGCCTGCATGATTTTCTGCCTCCTTGTGTCCATGCCTTTGTGTAATCCCTCCCTTCAGAGTGCAGGCTGGAACTGTAACTTGCTTCTAACCAATAGGTTGTCACTTCTATGATTGTGACATATTATGTAAAATTCCGTTTAGCAGGCTGGAGAGAAAAATTCCCTTCATGGCTTTGAAGGAGTAAGTTTTCATGTTGTGAGAGGGCCTATGGAGAGAGATGCATAGCAAGGAACTGCAGGCAGCCTGTTAGAGCTGAGAGTGGCCCCTGGCTAGCAGCCAGCAGAAAAATGGGACTCTCAGTCATACACCTGCAAAGAAATTAAATTCTGCTAATAACTTGAATAAACTTTGAAGTGGATTCTTCCCCAGTCAAGCCTGAAGATGAGGAGAACACAGCTCAGGTTTTCCATAGATTTCACTTATGTGAGACCATGAGCAGAGGACCCATGCCTAGGCTCCTGATCCACAGAAACTGTGAGATAATATATTAAATTGTTTTAACTACTAAGGTTGTTGGAATTTGTGACATAGCAATAGAAAATTAACAAAATGACTCCAGGGTGCCCACAATGGCACAAGAGTCAATCTGAGCTGGATGGTCTCAGCATCCAGTCTGTGGATACATGCTTTTCTTCCATCCCCCAAACAATTCTCATTTGCTTTCTTCTAGCAGCTGACACAGCCACATTTAAGGGGCTTGTACAAGTCTTAGCAGAGAGTGCCAGAGACTGAGGCCACTGCTGCTTCTGCCCCTTCTCCCTAGATAAGAAGGCCTTGGAAAGATGCTTACTGTCCTGAAAAACTCATCTAGTTCTGAACTGGTCTCAGCAAGGTGGGACCTGAGGTCTCAGCACCTTCAGCTGTACCTCCTATCATAAATATGTGACCATGCTGGGCTCACACAAACCCTACCAGGCACAGAGCCTCACAGTTGGAGCTGCTGGGTGCCATCTTTGACTCTCATCCCGGGCTGGACATCTTTGCACACAATGTGTGCAGGGCCTAGTGAGGCCCTCTTTGAGCCTCAGCTGGGCTTGTGGGTAGACCACACCCTGTGGGTGAGGCTTTACCCTGTGCAAGCTTGGACTTGTGTAGCAGAGCATTTTAGGGGTGAATCAGAGCCAAGTGTTGCTATGTACCCAGTGCCTAGAACAGTGTTTGGTACACAGAGACTCAATAAATATTTTTTGGACAAATGAGGTACAACCACGTGATCTCAGAGACTCTCAATGCTGTTTCTAGGGTTTGTGGGTAGTGGTAATAGTCTTCTTAAGCAGGTTCACTGAGAGTCAAAACACAAGGTCTGATTTATATCACAGTAAACTTTCTTTTTTATTTTTCAATTACAGTTGACATTCAATATTGTATTATTTTCAGGTGTACAGCATAGTGGTTAGACATTTATATAACTTATGAAGTCCCCCTGATAAACCTAGTACCCACCTGCCACCATACATAGTAATTACAATATTATCGACTATAATATTGTACTTTACATCCCCATGACTGTTTTATAACTAACAAATGGTATGTACATCTTAATTCCTTCACCTTTTCTCCCAGTCCCCCAAACCCCTTTCCATCTGGCAACTATCACTTTGTTCTCTATATCTATGAGTTTGTTCTGTTTTGTTTATTTTGTTTTTTTTTTTTTAGATTCCACATATAAGTAAAATCATATGGTATTTGTCTTTCTCTGTCAGACTTATTTCACTTAGCGTAATACCCTCTGGGTTCATCCATGTTGTTGTAAATGGTAAGATTACATTCTTTTTTATGGCTGAGTAATATTCCATTGTATTTTTGTACCACATCTTTATCTGGTCATCTATTAATGGGTACTTAGATTGCTTCCAATATTGTAAACAATGCTGCAGTGAACGTAGGGGTGCATATACCTTTACAAATTAGTGTTTTGGATTTCTTTGGATAAATACCCAGAAGTGGAATTGCTGGGTCATAGATAGTTCTATTTTTAATTTTTTACGGAACCTCATACTGTTTTCCAGGTGTGAGGTGATAATTTGCATTTCTCTAATGGTTAATGACATTGAGCATCTTTTCATATGTCTATTGGCCATCTGTATGTCCGTCTTGGAGAAATGTCTCTTCAGGTCCTCTGCCTATTTTTTAATTGGATTATTTGTTTTTTTGGTGTTAAGTTATTTGAGTTTTTATATATTTTGTATATTAACCTCTTATCGAATGTACCATTGGCAAATATTTTCTCCCACTCAGCAGGTTGTCTTTTTGTTTTGTTGATGGTTTCCTTTGTTGTGCAGAAACATTTTAGTTTGATGCAGTCCCATTTGTTTATTTTCTTTTTTGTTTCCCCTGCCCAAGAATACGTAGCAGAAAAAATATTACTAAGAGCAACGTCAGAGAGTTTATTGCCTAGGTATTCTTCTAGGAGTTTTATGAGTTCAGGTCTTACATTTAAGTCTTTAATACATTTTGAGTTTATTCTTGTATACAGTGTAAGAACTGGTCTAGTTTCATTTTTTTTTTTTTTTGCACAAATCTGTCCAGTTTTCCCAACACCATTCATTGAAGAGACTATGTTTATCATTGTATATTCTTGCCTCCCTTGTCATAGATTAAATGACCATATAGGTATGGGTTTATTTTGGGGCTCTATGTTCTGTTCCATTGATCTATGTGTCTGTTTTTATGCCACTACCATGCTGTTTTGATTATTATAGCCTTGGAGTGTAGTTTGATATCAGGTGGCCTGATACCTCCAATTTTCTCCTTCTTTCTCAAAATTGCTGTGGCTATTCAGGGTATTTTGTGGTTCTGTATAAATTTTAGAATTATTTGTTCTAGTTCTGTGACAAATGCCATTGGTATTTTGTTAGGAATTATTGAATCTGTAGATTGCTTTGGGTAGTATGGACATTTTAATGATGTTAATTCTTCCTGTTCATGAGCACGGTATAGCCTTTCATTTATTTGTATCTTGTTCAGTTCCTTTCTTTAAAGTCTTATAATTTTCTGAGTACAGGTATTTTGCCTCCTTGGTTAAATATATTCCTAGGTACTTATTAGATGAAATTATAAGTGGGATTTTAAAAAAATTTCTTTTTCTGATAGTTTGTTAATGGTGTATAGCAATGCAATCGATTTCTGAATATTAATTTTGTATCCTGCTACTTTACTTAATTAATTTGTCAGTTCTTATAGTTTTTGGTGGAATCTTTAGGGTTCTCTCTATATAGTTTCATGCCATCTGCAAACAATGACTATTTTACTTCTTTCTCTTCAATTTGGATGCCTTTTATTTCTTTTTCTTGTCTGATTATTGTGGCTAAGCCTTCCAAAATTATGATGAATAAAAGTGGTAAAAATGGACATCCTTGTCTTATTCCTGATCTGAAGGAAACACTTTTAGCTTTTTACCATTATGATATTAGCTGTGGTTTTGTCATAAATGGCCTTTATTATGTTGAGGTATGTTCCTTTCGTTGCCACTTTACTGCGTTTTTATCATAAATAGATGCTAGATTTTGTCAAATGCTTTTCTACATCTATTGATATAATCATGTTATTTTCATCCTTTATTTTGTTTATGTAGTGTATCATATTAATTGATATTGAACCAACCTTGCATCCCAGGAATGAATCCCACTTGATCACGGTGTATAATCTTTTCAATGTGTTGCTGAATTTGGTTTGCTAATGTTTTGTTGAGGATTTTTGCACCTATGTTCATCAAGAATGTTATAGGCCTATAATTTTCTTTTTTTGGTAACATCTTTGTCTGGTTTTGGAATCAGGGTAATGTTGGCCTCATAAAATGAGCTTGCTTGCCTTCTCTCCTCCACATTTTGAAATAGTTTGAGGATAGGTGTTAATTCTTTGAATGTTTGGTAAATTTACCCGTGAAGTCTGGTCCAGGACTTTTGTTTTTTGGAAGTTTTTGGATTACTGCATTGATTTCCTTAGTTATTGGTCTGTTCAGATTTTCTGTTTCTTCTTGACTCAGGAGATTGTATAATTCTAGGAATTTTTCCATCTTCCAGATTGTCCAGTTCATTGGCATATAGTTGCTTGTAGTGATTTTTTATAACCCTTTGTATTTCTGTGGCCT